AATATGTACCATTTTCGTTTCAATTTTATGTATGTGTTAATCGTAGTCGCCGGAGAAGCGAAAAAAAGGTATCAACCATGCAGCGTTCAAAAGAGCATATCAGACATTCGCACCACATTGTGTGCTATGAATCAATCTATATACAAATTTGTTGGGATTTGCATTTCCATGATACAAACTGCACATATATAGAAATGTGTATAGTATAATTATGTAATTTTCCATATTCTCTTATTGTATCGCAACTGATTTGTCACGTTACAATATTTCTTCCTTCTGTCTACAAAATGTCGTGTACATTATTATATTCTCGGTTTTTTTTCGTCACTTTTCACAAACGGTGTATGTGTGTACACATAGTTTTGCCATTCATTTTATGCAATTTTTTTAAGTGGTTGAAACAAGAGCAATGAGACAAAGACAGAGACAAAGAACCGCTCATAACCACTTGATATGAACCCCATAAGCAAAATTTTTGTGAACGCGCGCGCATTCTTTGTGCATAATTTTTGTTTATTTCTCTTTTGTTTCGTGTTTGAATTTGTTTCTCATATTCCTGTTCCGCAATACATGCAATAGTGTGGAAGGAAAAAGAGAGAACGGACAAAATGAAGCGAAACCCTTTATAAAATCGTTGTAATTCGTTTCGTGCATCGTTGCAATTAAGTCAGGGGTCGAATCATTTGGTGTGTGGCGGTGGAGAAAAGTAAAAGAAAAAAAAAACTGAAATGAATTTACTGTATAGGTGTATACGTATATATAAAGTGGAAATCGCAGACAGTGAACACACAAAAATCAATGCACGACAATGTCAATCGATGAAGATGGCATAAACAACAGCATTACCAATGTAGATGAATTCGTCGGCCGTTTAAAACAAATAAAGCACATTTTTTTTAGTTTGAAAATTGCAGAAAATTGAATGTAGATGTGTTTGTGCTCGCGTGAATGAACTGTTGTGGACATTATGTGAAAAATCAACCGCAATTCTCATATGTATTTTTCTTTAGTATTACTACTGTACAATTTGCTCAGCCATCACTGTCTATTCATTGAGCGTTCACTCAACTCACAAAATGTAATCCAATATGATATGTGTGAAATTTATTGCATTCCCAGTCCAAGCCCATAATCGGTGATGATCATATTACAAAATGAAATCATATTCCAGAGTAATAATTAGTGAACTGAACAATCATTTTTGGGAACGATTTAAATCAAACGACAGCAATACGAAAAAAAAAAATCCTCAAAGGTAATTCTATTAATTAAAGATCCAACGCGTACATATGGTTTTTGGCGAAAAGAAGCAGCAATTCATTTTTATTTTTTATTTTATATGTATATTGTTTCCTTTCAGCACGAATGTATAAATAAATGAAAATACCGTTAAGCGATGCAGAAGGAATTAATGATGGTAATTGCATTAAATCATTTTAATGATTTTTCCTTATATATTTTTTTTGTTAGAATGTATCGTGTGTATGGTGTGTGGATATCCGTATGTGTCAGGATATCACTTGAACAGACGACACTGCATTATATGTGCTAACATTGCACACGGTTGTTTTTCTAGTGAAAACAAGTCAAAGCGGTGCATTTTAACGATATCCAAGAGAGAATGGCAACGAACGACCGAACGACAAAAAAAAAACGGAACGGAACGGTGAAGAGCGGAAAAAGAACCACCGATATGGCAATGTGTAGAGGCGAACATGTGTAGAGAAGAAGGAAAAATGTGTTGTTCATGCTGTGGAATGAGGTCACAGACAACCCCCCCCCTAATGCATATATACATCTATAGAACAGTGTGCATGGCCAATGCACTCCAGTTTATCGACTATACGCGCGTGATGCTTTTCCAACTACAATTTAAACCAACCATCATATAACTCTATTTATACATCAACATATAGCATGCATTACACAGCGACAGCGTACGCTATTTAAAGCACATAATGAATGGCACCACTATATGCAATGTATATATAACATGAGTAACTATAAAAAAACACATTATAACAACAACAAACATACAAATATATGCTATATAGGTACATCGACAAATGCATATAAACATTGTATGTATGCTAGATGGTTTTGTGCGTTCGATGACCTTGTGCCAACATTCACGCATGCGTTTCTTTCCTCTTCCGAACCGTTCACATTTCAATATTCTATGCACATTACACCCTCGACACCCTTATTCATGCATACAATCTTCGACGAAGGCAAAATAACGGCAAATTATAACTACATCAAATGGCAAATATAAAACGATTACAGATCAATATAAAAAGCCATAGACCGAGAATTTTTCATAAAATTTTGACAAGATTTTATACATACACACACACACACATAGAGGGAGAGACGGTGACAGACGTCGATTCTAATCATTTTCCAACATCGATTTCGAACAAATTGAAGCGGAATGGATGTGGCCATGATCTTGAAATGGAATTATAATACAATTTAAATTGATTTGAAGTAATTTGGTTTAATTTTTCTTCGAATTTCATTTAATACGATAAATATCAATTTAAAAGAAGTTTTTTTTAGAATACATAGAATAACGGTAGAACGAAAAATCGGCGAATGACAGTGGAGATGCCTTTTTAAAAAAAGGATTTTTATTATCGTCACACGCACTCATTTTCACTTGTATTACTTTAACTTGTACTATCTTTCCACAGAAATTACTTCGATTTTACATTTTTTTAAACCAAATTTCCGGTTAAATTTGAGATATGTTTAATTCAGTAATGTGCGAAGGGGAGGGGAAGATTACCCCCTGTGACTTCAAAATTCATCCGATTTGCTAGGATTACGAAATTTTTCTCGATTTCCTAGAGTTTTTTGAGGAACATTTTAAAATCATCCCCCCCCCCTGGAAAATTTTGCTTATGTGGATTCATTATTCGTTTGAGGAGAAAATAGTTGGATACAGATGGAATGTACAAATTTAAGCAAAAAAATCCAACAGTTGAAAAATTATAAATCAATAATGATGATATTATTAATAATAAAAAAGGTCATCCAATTCAAATGAAGTCCTGATGTAAATAATCAATCAGACGTTGTTGTTTTCGTTTGATTTCATAATTAATGCTGTGATTTTGGTGTAACATCCAATTGTATCAAGACAAATATCATAGTTTACGTTTGTTTAAAAGATGGATCGTTGCAAGAGTATCCTATACAAATTATATATTTATATCGAAAAATGTGTTTAATTCATTTGATTAATCGAGATGATATTATTATTATGATAATGCTTAATTCATCAAGTGGAGGCAAAGCACCCTGTAAGAAAGTTCATTGATTTAGTTGGGTTTCATCGAGACACAATGTTGTTTGAACCCAAGCGCAAAACCATTATTTTGAATTAGTCAAAGGGTAGATATGCAATTTCAAAGCCCCAATGCATTCCGCTACACAAATCTTCTCACGAATATAATATAATTCGATTTTTATTGTCAAAACATATCTAAAATGTGTCTAAATGACGGCACGGTGCGATTAGTTCGTGTGTGATATACATTTGGAATGATTCATGCGTCTAGCGTACGGTTTTGGGTAAATTTGCCGACCATATGTATTAAAATGTTATCCAAATAGGTTCAGTTCCACAAATTTTCGCATCGCAACAATGATACGAATAAAATCTATCCCAACTGACATTGAATAATGACATTCAATTTGGATCGATGAATGGGAAATGCATAAGCGTTAACAGATGAATGCAAATGATACGTGTGAATAGGTTCCTTGAAATTGTCCAGGCGATTTCATCATTGTCGATTCAAATTAGTTTCATTGTGGATACGATTGGATTCATGAGCAGTTTAGTATTTTATCAGTATCCGATGAGCACGTAATTTTTCGGAATGAAATATTGAAAAAGAGGAATATTTGTACATGCGAGGTGGAAAGTTTACTCTTGAAATCTTATCATTACTGATAAGAGATGAAGTGCATTCAATAATTCAAAAGAAATTAAACAAAGTTACCGATTGAAGACACTTATCAATTATCCACAAACTACAAACAATGAATGATGCCTTTTGGCAACCATTCGTTCATCTCAACTAATGCACATTGAAAGGAACACACGTTTGAATTAAAATTGCTACTTGTATTATGCTCAGTTCCGCGCAATACATTTTAAATGTTCATTTATGCATTTAACATTTGTGTCTCTGTATGTTTGAATGATTAATTTGATGCATCGATTTTACTATGCACAGAAAACAAACTGCTTTTAGAAAACGATAAAAATAAGAAGTATTTAAAAATTGTGTAACCATGTTTCAAAATATAAAACAGAGAGAAATACAAATTTAAAAATTAAAATGATTTTTTTGGCGGAAATTGTCAAAATGTATTGTAGAATGAAATTAATTCTTAAAATTATTGAAGAAATAACGATTCAGATTTTATGTAAAATGTTTGTTTTCAGAAAAAACGTCGGTTCTTGAAATACATTAGGAAGTGACATCTGACGAGTACAAAGTGAACTTTGGCGAATTTTTTTTTTCGAATAAGTTCTTACAAAGCCCCTCAAATGACGAGCTTATTGAAATTCCAACTTTTGGTAATCTTTTTCTGTTGTCCGACACGAAATCTAGAAAACCTTGAAAACAATTATTACCAATTTATTCTTTTTTCGTTTCGTGATTTCAATAAACATATTGCGGGGAAATAATTCACACAAAAAGCAGACTAACACATAATCAAACTGGCTAATGATGTAATGTAAATAGACGTTCCTTCTACATATTTTATTCTCATTTAAGCAACTAAAATTGTTTTCAAATTCAAATAAATAGTTTTTGGACACGTTAAAAAAAAAAAAAAAAGCAAATAACCGTTCACAATGGAGTCAATATTATTTCGTTTCAAATCGTGCATTAATCAATAAAAACATTTTGCTATGATTGCGCCATCTGTCGTAGATGTAATAAAGTATTGATGACACTACTGACATTTCAAGCCGAATATTGTTTATAGATTTGGTTTGAGCGTGACTTTTTGCTTATAATTACAAAATTTATCGAAAAAATCATTGTTTCTATCGTAAATAAATTGAAAATGTCGACAGTTCCGATTGCAGATTTTGGTCCCGATTCGGGCGGTCGTGTTAAAGTAAGTGGATGCAATATTTTTTGTAAAATTGTTTTCATTAAAAACTGTATGTTTTGTGTCGTTCAACACACAGGGTTTAACAATTGTGAAGCCGATTGTTTATGGTAATATGGCCCGGTCGTTTGGTAAAAAACGCGAAGAAGATGGACATACACATCAATGGACAGTGTATTTGAAACCATACAACAACGAGGATATGTCAACTTGGGTGAAAAAAGTCCATTTTAAATTGCACGAAAGTTATGCCAATGCCAATCGAACGCTTACCAAACCACCGTATGAAGTCACCGAAACTGGTTGGGGTGAATTTGAAGTGGTGATCAAATTACATTTCCATGATCCAAATGAACGACCAGTCACACTTTATCACATCCTGAAATTGTTTCAATCGCCAATTGTCGATGGTGAAATTTCCTCACAAGATACTAAAAAAGGGCTCGTCTCCGAATCATACGAAGAAATCGTTTTCCAAGAACCTACACAATATATGCAACAATGTCTTAATAATACTAAAGCAATTTGTAACGGACCATACAATCATGACACAGATTGTAAGTATTTTAATACAAAAATTATATATTTATTTGGTTTTGGTTTTTAAAAAAATCGCATTAATTTTCAGTCGAAGACCTCATTTCACGAACTCTGGAGAATATAATTGATGTAAAGGGAAAAGTAAAACAAGAAATTACCGCATTGAAGGATAAACTAACACTTGCTCGTGAAACAATTGGACGATTCAAGAGTGAATTGGCCAAAGTACAAGGAACACCAAATCCCGTAGGAAACACAACACCACAACCGAATCACTGACCTCATACATTTTTCATCATTCAAATTGTTAATATAAGACACATCCAATTTTCAAATGAAACAAATGTGATTCATTTTTTTTTTTAATTTTCATTCAATTTAGACGTTTCACTCGACTTTGTGAATACTATCAATAATTAAAAATAAAACGTCGTGTTTTTTTGGTGAAAGAATGTGGTATTTCATTTTAGTGTCAGCATACAGAATTTTAGTTTCGGATTTTTGATGTTTCTGGGGAAAATGTTTTTTATTGGATTTTGATAATTTCTTGTTATTTTGCTAATAAGGTGAGTAATTTTTATTTATTTCTTTTTTTTTTGATTTTCTATTAATTCAAAAATATAAAAAAGGATCATGACATTTTTTCAATCTGTCAAATACAGATAAAATAATTGATAAAAAAATGGAAAACCATTGCAGCTTTAGATTTGATTTAATATTTTATTTGAATATAATAGACATAAAAACACAGTGCTGAAAACACCTTATTAAAGTCTAGATAAACCAGACTATATCACAAACGAAATACACAAAAACAACAAACTGGTGCGATTGTACTAATGAAAAACCATTACGCACTAGATAACAACGACAATGAAGAATTGATGAAACTGATAAAGTGCTCAGTTGGTAGAAGGTATGATATTATTCAAAGAAAATATTTGCTTCGTCTGATAGATAAATATCTTTCCATTTTTTGAACATATCCCAAAAAGTAAGATTGAGTATGGTGTGTGGTGCACATCTGCAATAGTTGGCGATGAATCCTTTGTATAGACCTCGAATACCTTCGATTTTGAATGTTTTAACAAAGCAATCGCACACATTTCGATACAATAAGCCTTTGCCATTTTGATCGACTCCTGAAAATTCAATAAAACACAAACTTGTTCAATTACATTTCCGCACAATAAAATCAAAACAACAAACCTTGATTGAAGAGTCTCGTAGCAACTACATCAAACGGAGTCATGCCAATGCTTAAAAAAACGCCACTTATCATACTTGATGCCAACGGGGTTAAGAATGATGATTGTTGAAATGTCTATGAGTGAAATAAAAGTGGAATTTAATTTGGAAAAAAAACATATGTTATCAATTCCAGACTAAAATTTTTGTTTATTTCGATCGACACAGATGCTTACTTCGTATTTCGATAGGAAATCTTTGGACATTGAGAATGTTGTCATTTGTATGGCTGAACCGACCGCAGTTCGTGGTACGATACCCTCAAATCCACGCCAAAGTCCACGTACACCTTGATTTTGAAACGTACTAATAAGTGCATTCATCATCCCCGAATGGCCATGTTGAAAACCGACCACCTGACTGCCAATTCCACTCGATTGAGCTTGTAATTGAGTTTTAACCTTCAAATTGAGATTCTCATTTATTTTCAATTATCTTAAGATGATTTCAAATGAAATAAAAAATCTTTCTACCATATAAAGTGGGCATCCGACTGCCGAACCAGCGACACCACATACACCACCCCAAAATGCACATAATACCGTTGAATGTGACGACGATGGAGTGAAACGGGTCCAATTCAATTGATCAACGGTTTCAAATAAACCGAGACGCGTACTATTCATTACAAATTGAAATGAGAGTGCTGGCACCAACCCTTTACGATAAAATAAAAAAAAAATTCTTAGTCACGTGTTTCATTTGAAAAGAAAAAAAATGTGTAATCACTTACCTTTCTGTAAACCTAATAATCCTTCTGATTTCACAATTGTTTTGATAGCTGACCATTGTGTACCGTACGGTTGTTTCGAATTTTTCACGTGCTTTTGTAATTCACCTTGTAATTGTTGTCTCGTTTTAATTACGTCGAATGGATTACTAAATACACCAGCACATGTAGCAGCAGTTCCGCCAAGTAGAAAATCCATTCTCGTTTATTGATTGAAACACCGTCTATGACAAATAGTCGTCAAAGCCTATATAGATAATTCTATACGATTTATTCAAAATTTAACTCTTTATCGTTCGACTATACTGAAGCCATGTTTTATGATATACATACGATGAATATTCGTCTGTAACAAATAGAAACAATATGTGATAAGATGTAAAAATGTGTTTGCAATTGTTTATCTGTTTTGAATTGAATTTTTTTATTTTTGAAAAACAAAAACAAAAACAAAAGACAAATATGAGATAATTTATATGCAAACATGTTATACTCGGTTTTTGTGTGTCTTTTATGGAAATTGTTTATGACTGACAACATTTTGGCAATGGCTCAAATAATGACATACACAATGAAACGTGTTTCTCTACATTGTAATGTTCGAGTGCAGCAATGTGAAATGAGATATTTTCGGATATGAACGTGTGTGTCCAATTGAAATTCGAATTGATTATGTAAGCTATTTATGTGACGGAGCTGCTAGAGAGCCACCAACAATCCATCACTTATATACAAATCAATCTTGAACTTTGGACCACAAATTCTTTCAAATCATCGACGTCATTGACAAGTTAAAAATATCATTTGAAACATTTTAATGATCTTAAAACAATATCAACAATACACAGGTAAACTACTTTTCAATTTCACACAGTTTTTCCTTTCTCTCCTTTTGACATTTCACAAAAATATCGGTAACTACAGTAAATTCTTATTCGCTACAAAATTTTAACTCTTTCTTAAAAAAGGGGACAACATTGGAAATACTCACCCAAAAAAAGATTATGACTAAGCTGATTAACAAATCAAATGTACATATATCGAAAAATCCAATTCGACAATTTTAATTGATTTCAAGATCACGTGTATGATATTGTACAATCAGTTCTTCAGGTCACTTATTATCAGTGAAGAATGAAATTTAAACATCGATCGTAAATCACTTCTTGTTAATTAAGCGGAACAAAAAATCAATTTGTATCGCACGCACGCACTTGCATGAGATGGAAACATATGGGAATGATCATTTCTAAAGAAACTATCGTTAGGTTTCACAAGCGAATGACACAAATACTGCAATATGAAATGCCGTCTTACAGTTCACATGCAAATCAAATTTGAATCTTTGTTACGCGATAAAGTACCGAGATCACGTTAGAAGTAAAAAAAAAAAATTACCGAAATAATCTGATCGCGCTCCGTTGTTCATCACGCGATCACACATTAACGAAAATTATCTAAATTTTATTCTCAATTTTTTGCATTGAATGGCCAAAAAATATATTTTTACGATAAAATCGTATATAATAAATCGTTTAAAAGACATGATTTGTATCAAAATTATAGGCCTGTGCAGCACTGTAATATTTATAAACACAAAATCATACATTAAAAAGTCATCGATAATAATATCACGTGCGAATCTCCACTAAATTTAATTTGTTATTGTCGCTTATTTTTGTTATTATGTGTGAATGAAAGAAGATTGATGATAAATGAAATGAAAATAAACAGTAAACGAATTTCACCAAGAATCTAATCGAACAGAAATTCACCAAAAAAAAATCGTAAATCAACGAAACCGATGAAATTCTTTGAGAAAATAAGTCAACAGTTCTCTAAATTTGTATTTCAAGTGGTGTTTGTGAGTGTAGCTACATCACATCGTTGTGTTATGTTTTCGTTTTGACGTTTCGTGCTCGTTGCTTGACAGTTTTGGGCAAAACAACAAGCACACACCAACCATGTGTATAACGCGCGCGAACAAACCAAGATACACGTGAGTGAGCATATATATTGGATGGTGCGCATTGCCTTTCTCTTTTCTCCCGTCAATTGGAAGAAGTATTGAGTGAATGACGTATTTCGTTGGAATACACAAAGATCTGCGTTTGTATTTGTGCCACGCGTGTGTATGTATTTGTATGATTACTACTTTGACAATTCGCATATGTGTGGCTCTGGATATTTCGTACTAAAAATCATATTGGCGCTCCACCATTTACCATTTGAGTAACAAAGTTTAGACATATAGATTTGGTCATAGTCAAAAATAGACGGAATAGAAAGACCGAGCGCGAAATGATTCACATTTGGGTACGATATTTAGTTTTTGGCAATAAACAAATGTTCGGCAAAGTAAAATGCCATCAAACATTCGTGCACGGTGTAAGAGTGTGAGAATGTGTTTTTATGTGCATACCTATGTAGCGAAATGATGATAGTTGGATTTTTTTTATTGTGTGTGCAAAACTAAAATAAGTGAATAATAAAATTTCCGAGAGATTCGAACGGGCTCATTCTTATTGTTTTGATGTCGTAATTCAAGTCACGGATATATTTTTTCTCTCAAGAAAACACGGTTTTTTCTATTTGTCTTTATTTCATAAGATGGTCTATGTTTATCATTATTCAAATGACATCGTAATGTGATTGCAAATGCAAAAGTAAATTACAATTCAATAAATTATCACAATTGAGTGTTTATACTTTGATTTTTTTTATGTATTGTAAATTTGTGATTTGTTGACTTTGTACTGAGTGCAAAATGTTTGGTAGTTTCATTTGTAAATGAGAGAGTGTAATTTGTAGTCAATGACGAAAATATTATTCAGGAAACTAGATTACAGAAAATGTTCTTTTTCTTTGAAATATGACCTAACACTTTTGGCTAAGTGAATTTGCGGCTCGTAATTAGGTGCAAAGGTTTTTTTTTTGTTGCTTTAACATTGATTCCATTCTTGTGATATGTGAAAATAACTGTCACACAATGAACGGCGTGAGTGAATCGAAGAGAAAGAGTAAAAATATCGTGATATTAGCATATAAAATTTCTTACTTAAGCAAGCACATTCGATACAATGTGTTTTTCTTGTGCCTTTTGTTATGGTCATTATATGTGATTGAGCGCTGTAGGAAAACTTTGAATATGGGCAAATGACGAGAATTAGTGAGTCTTTGAAACACACGCGTTGGTCAATGGATTTCGATATTCATGATATTATGTGTCGGTGTGTTTGTTTATTTTGATTATTTGTTGCAAATGGCAAAGAGAAAGTCAGTGTGTGTTACACAAGATATGGGCCCGAAAAAGAAGCAAATTGAAATGCAATTGTGACAAAAAAAATTTCTCTCTTTTGATTTTCAGTTCAGTGCAGTTACAATGATAAAGACTGAGTGATGATTCAATGCAGCAGCTATCAACAGTCATATATTACATCGATGATTTTTTACAAACGGTATCTATCGCCTATTTTGTTACTGTATCCAAATCAATATATTGGCCAAATAGAAAGAGACATAACTTAATTTATTTGTGTTTCATATCTAATCAGAATTGCGCATCGAACAAATCATCAGCCGAAAAACGACTCGGAATTTTCCGAGAACTGAATGTGGCATGCCAAACAATGTATTTGCAATGCACACGCTTTGTATCCGATGAAAGACAATTTATACAGTATTTATGTACGACATTTGTGCAACTGAAAACAACAACATTATTCAAAACAATTTAAAAGTCATAAAAATCAATTCTGATAAGAAAAGAAGAAGAAGAAAAAAAAAACAAGATCAACACAAACACTCTAAAAAAAACTAGTTCGGCTCTTAAACGCCAATTAAACAATGTTAAGAGAACTCATTGCCTGGGTATTGAACAATTACTTGGGTAAATATGTGCACAATTTGAATACAGCCCAGTTGTCGGTTGCTTTGTTATCAGGTGAGCGTGCGCCTTCTTTAATTAACTTATTTTCAAACGTATTTTATTCGTTTAATTGGAGAATAACTAGATAACATAAATGTGAAATCAATATTAAATATGAATTTCGTTGAAATTGAATTCAGGTGAGGTTGAATTGGAAAATTTGCCGCTACGTAAAGATGCACTTCGTAATTTGGGCTTGCCATTGCAAGCTCTCAAAGGAACCGTCGGTCGTATTAAATTGCAAATTCCTGTGCGACAATTTCGTACAGCACCGTGGTGCATTATTGTTGAAGATGTATACGTAGTTATTGGACCAATCAATTTAGATGAGGTAAATTAATTGATGCAATCGTTTCAATTGTTCACTACTGTAAAAACAAAACCATTTTCTTTTCCAATTAAATTTTCTGCAGTGGGATACCGATGCTGAGGAACAAGCTGAACTCAACTACAAATTGAGCCGATTGGATAATTTGGAAGCAAAATGGCGTGCACAACGTGAAGCAGCCCTTGAAGGTGGTTATTATGCATCATCGTATTCGGGATGGCTGAGTTACGGCACATCGTTGGCGACAAATATTATTGAAAATTTGGAGCTTAAAATAAAAAATGTCCATATTCGATATGAAGATGCGGCGATAACGGTGCATGATCAACGTTTTGCCTGTGGCATTACAATTGATTCGTTGTCAGCTCGAAGCTGTGATTCAAATTGGATAGCTGGTTTCTCGTCGTCATGGAACCAAACGAGTGCCTCATTTAAATTAGTTGAATTGACATCAATGTCAATCTATTGGCAACCATTGAACAATCAAGAAAGATTTGCCGATTCAACGTTCGAGGAGCTGGTGCAAAACTTTCAACAATGGAAAACCGCCACAAAACACGAGTACATCGTGAGTCCGGTTAGTGCACAAGCACGTTTTAAACGTGATCGCAGCGAAATGCCACTTCGGACACGCAGTCGACCTCGTCTCACATGTGATTTAATTCTAAACGAAGTTCAGCTTACGTTAAGCGATGTAAGTGAACGCCACACGCATAGACACACACACACTTACTTATGACATTGAACACACTAGAAACGACACTTTTATTACTGCAACTAAACTTAGCAATCGATTCATCATTTAAATACAGAAAATGACGCTTTAAATTGAAATTTTATGATTGATTTTTGTTTGTTTTTTTTTTTTTAATTGAATTTCAGTGGCAATACAAACAAATGGTGGAATGTGTTCGGGGGTTAGATGATATATCAAAGTATCGACGATTTCGTTTGTTACGACCGGAGCAAAGTGTTCATGAGGCGCCCAAAGCATGGTGGTTGTATGCAGCTCGATGTAATGGCGTTAAAATCGTTCCGCGTCACTCCATACGCAATATTACCAAAGAAAATCTACGTTACATAGATATTTATACCAAATTAATTATTAATCCAAATGAAACGCTTAGCAATGAACAAAAAGATTTTAAAGATAAAATCGAAAAGGAACGAGACTATTACGAATTGAAATTTTTAAGAGAGGTAAATAGTTTTTGTTTTGTTTTTGAAAAGATTCATTGAGTTTTCTAATGTTTTTTTTTTCTCCATTAGGTGTGTATGAGCCGAATTCCAAACGATGACGTGAATGCTGTGGATACAAATAATCAAGGTCGTGGAATGCTATTGCAATGGTTTCCCCAATGGTGGGGCTGGTACAAGACCCCACAAGCGGATCCACAATCAACTGATGCGTTGGTCATTTCAACAATATCGTCCACCGATGTAATTCAGCCAAAAGATCAAAATCAATTGGAAGATGAAATTTTAAATGCATTATCCAGTGGCACCGTTGATAATTCATTGCTTAAACGAGACACAGTCTTCGGAAAGTTTAATTTCACATTAAAAAAAGGCGTTTTAGATATTTGCAGCAGTCAAAATAACATGGAAAAAATAATGTTACAACTTCAATTCCAAAATTTATTATTGGATGTTGAAACGCGGCCACGATCCGGTTCACATTTTGTTGGACTATCGCTTGGTTCCGTATTGCTAAAGGATTTTATTACGGAAAATTCTGAATTTCCCGATTTGATAAAGCCACAAGTAAAAGAAGATGCGACAACCGTATCGCATAATCGACGTTCGCGTGGTAGTTTCTTGATAGGTGGTTTAAATAGCAGCAACAGTAATAGTAATGCCAGTCTCGCTGGATTGATAAGCGAACCAATATTTCAATTAAATTACGAACGAAAACCGCTGTCGCACAATACCGATTATCGTCTATTAATCAAAACACAATCACTTGATGTCGTTTACAATATCGAGCCCATCAAATGGATCGTTGATTTTGTAATGAAACCGTATCAAATGATAAATACACGTAAAAAAATTGAAGCAATGAAAAACAAAACCAAAGCCGAATTGATCAAAAACTGGGAAAATATTCTTGAAGGTGATGTGACCGAACGTAGAACATGGACACTTGAAATTGATATATCTGCACCGCAAATTATATTTGTTGAAAATTTTGCAATTAAAAATAGTACAGTGATTGTTATCGATTTTGGTCGATTGCAATTGACCAATTTTACGGACACAACAAATTGTTCGATGCTCGGTGGTGTGGCGGCGCAAACGGCAAATAAGAAAGATGATAGCGAAATTGATGCACTGCTTCGTGAACAAAGTGAAGATGAAGATGCGTTCGTAACACCGTGTTCAACACCACCCGGATCGCAAGCAAGCAATGATTCGCCGACATTATGTTCAGCACTTAGTGATGTATTAGACTCAAACAATAGCAATGGTAACGATACGGCAAATGGTAATTTGTACGATTTAGAAGGAAGCACGTTGAACGAACGTTCTTTACATGAAAAACTTTATGATCGATATAAAATGGATTTAACCGATTTACAAGTGCTGGTATGCAAGAGCAATGAACGTTGGCTATTTGCCAGTGCAAAAGGCTCATCAACACTTCATGTTCTCGATCGATTCAGCATTTCATTACAAGTTGAACGTCGTGCCGTACATACAAACGATCCACAATATCCAAATTTAACAATAGCCGGCACATTGCCCAAACTAAATGCACATGTTAATGAACAAAAGATAACAGCAATCACAACAATGCTTAATATTATATCATCGTCAAATATTCAATCACCACATCGAACACCAAATGATAGTATTGAAGATACATTTACGGCTGAAATGATTGCAGAGGAATGTGATAGCGATAATATCGATGGGGAAGCAACGAATCAACGTGGCCCATCGAATAGAACATCAATTGAAAGTGAAAATGAAGCGTCGAAATTGTTTATGCTACAATTTTCAATCGATCAAATGTCATTGGAAGTACAATCAAGGGGTCGATGCATCGCCGAGCTGCAAGTGACTGGAGTTAAGGCGGCATTTAGCAAGCGACCAGAAGATATAAATGTTACATTATCCGTGCACGGGTTGCTTTTGGTCGATGCGATTCAATCATTTGGACCCGATTTTGAGTTACTTATCGCAAGTCATCGTCATGTTGGGTAAGTTATTTCGGTGAAAGGCAGACTAAAGTAATTTTAAGACGAAATGTGGTGAACATTGGAAATTATATTTTTTTTTTTCAATTACAGGATGGACAGCATATCCGGAAGTTTAAAACAGAGTGAACCGTGCTCACCAATTTCACCTGCATCGCCCGATCCAATGATTGATCGTCGGCCACACAGTCCGAATTCAATTTCGCGCGCCATTTCAAATCTGCAACGAAGTAAGACATTCTTCTCTCAAAATCAACGATTTTTTCTTCTTATTTTACTTTTAATTTGTGTCAGCATTCGTTTATTTTCTACACAGATGATTACTTTTTTCACATGAATTTGATTTCGTTTATTTTTTTAATTATATTTTTTCCACCAAATTTACAGTTTAGTTTTATGTTTTTTTATGTTTCTTTTATTTTCATGTTTAAATCTGGCCATTTACCTCTTGATTTTGCATGGCTTTATCAATCCAATAAAAAAAAAATTAAATAAAAAGCTAATTCCGAACACTGGTCTACAACTCATGATGTAGATGCATTGATCACCGTTGAAGTGCTTTTAGTAACACCCGAAGTGTCCGATGGTGAATATTTGCAAATTGCAAATATTCAGTTCAACAATTTGGATATAATTGGTAACTTTCTGCTTAAATTCAATTCCATAAAATGAAATATACGCAAATATGCTTATTTTATTTCAACAGCCAATCAAGAGACGATTGTTGAACTGATGGGTTTTGCGAATCGTGTATTTCCACGTCGTGAATCAAAGGTTCATCATGCCGATGTTGAAGCACATCAATTAAAACGAGAAACTCCAATAACCGTAGAAAGTACACCATCAAACACTGAACCAAAATCCACGTCGGAGAGAGAAATAAATTCGGATGCATCAGCCAATGTAATGACAATGCGCACGGAAATAACATTCGATTTTCATCGATTAAATGTGCTTGTATTACGTGCTGTAATGCGTGATACATATATGGTGGGACGAAAAGTGGGAACATTTACAATGAGTGAAGCGAAAATTCATGCAACATTAGGGAACGATATTCGAGTTGAAGGCTCCTTGGGTGGACTACAAGTGATTGACTTAACTCCCGAAGGAATTTCTCATCAACGTATACTTTCAGTTGGTAAAGATCCATTAACTGAAGCACCTATCCCACCGACAAATCACGATCTATTGAGTTCACTTACACAAGAGGTATACGGAATGTCATCGCATCATACAAAACATGCGTTTACACTGGAAGATCAACAGGCTCTGTCATTTTGTGTAACAAGAAATTTAAGTGCAACGGTTACCATTCGCATTCGAATGGCTTCCGTTTGGTATACACATTGTGCACGTTTTATGCAAGAGCTTAACTGGTGTGCAACCGAATTTAAACATTATTTGAAGTGAGTTTAACCTTTTTTTTAAATTTTATGACGAACACGTTATAATGGACTTTTGTCATCTTCTCTTTTTTTGACAACTGCCTTATAGAAATTTTGCACGATCAATTCGAGATAAAGCAACTGACATGGCACTTGGGTTGGTTCAACCAAATCGTGATATTCCAACAGCCACACCGAAGGCACCAGTTGATATTCATCAAACACCAAAGCACATGCGAAAACAACGAACAATTTCATTTTCAAATTCAGCCGGACCAAAATCGATTGATGTTCGGTAAGAACCAACATACGGTTGATTCAATTTTATAATTAAAAAAAAAATAGTACAGCTCTGGTCAAAATATTATTTTAAAATTCACAATTCTCTTTTATTCTACGCATGTGCAGAATGGATATCGTTCTTGACACACCAGTACTGGTGCTCCCCCGATCAAGTCGCAGTCCCCAAGTATTTGTGGTGCATTTGGGTAAAATTTCGATGACCAATAATCAACCAAGTGACATGGAATTTAATCGAGATACACCACAACGTCACTTATCACGTCGAAAATCAAATGAATGTGATTTAAAAATATTCACCATCGATGAAGAGCTATTAATGGATGCATCAACAACAACTTTGGTCAATAATTACAGTGGCCAAAAGAACGAGTACTTTAGCGAAGAGGACATAAGATGTAAATCGAATGATACAGGCATCGATGATTGCGACGGAGACGATCGACACATTGAAACCTACATTTTGGATATTCGTAACATCAACGCATACTCATTGGACACAAGAAATCGCAAAAGTATTCGTTTATCGGCATTACCACGTGCTGAAGAATTCTATTCATGCCAAGAGGATGCCGTTCCAGTTTTATACGATACAGCGATCCGTGTGAATATAGTCCGTTGCTTGGAAACACCAAGCATTGATTTGCTTGTCGACTCGGTGGATTCAAAGGAACTACTTCAAATCAATGGCAGCGTTATCAAACCATTAAATTTATCATTGTCACGCGTTCAGTACGAACAATTGTTGGAAACAACCGAAAATCTATTTAAAGTTCCAAATGATTTGGCAAGACCGCCAAACGTCGTACCATCAACCATCAAAGAACGTGAAATTGAGCAATCGTCCGATTTTGAGCTATCGAATGAAACGTTCGAAATCGATTCAAAATTCAAACGACGTCTATTCCAACCGGCCGTTGCGTATGAAAAGAAAACAATGATTGAACCAAAAGTTGCATTTGAATTGCCAATTTTTATAATTCAATTGAAAAGTGCATTGAATGATCCATTGATCGATATTGTTTTTCGTGATTTTAATGTAAACTATGAAACAACAAATACGTACGAAACAAATTTACAAGTTTCGCTACGTTCGTTGCTAATGGAAGACTTATTGCAATCACCCGATTCAAAGCATCGTGCAATGTTGGTGTCATCATCACCCGATAATCAACAGCTACGTTCGAATAGTGCATATTCATCCAGATCATGTCCGAATTTAATCGGACCACATTTTCTAGACGATGGACTAACCGGTTCGTTGCCCGAACGTTTGGAAAGCGGCGCTGGTTTCAGTAACTATTTACACCCGAATAATAACACACAACAATCGTTTAATTGGTTTTCTGCATCACAACAACACAAAACCAATTGTCCAGAAACACCACCACCATCGCCACAACGACGCATGCGACAGGATAATCTTGTGTTGTACTCATCATTGATTGTTGATCCAGAATGTCCAAATTTTGCAACGCAATACAATTCAATGCGACAGACCAGTTCAATTGATTTCAATAGTTTGGATTTGATTGTTTCGGTGAAAAGTTGGTTTGCATTTTTAAACTTTTTTGGCGTTTTATCCGATACAACCGATGATGAACATCATTTGGATGCAAAACACGATACGACCATTGAATCAACCACAAATGAAGCGAAAAAAGACAATTCAGATTTAGAGGTATCAGTACGTTCATTGACATTGGTATTTGTTCGGCCCGATTATGAATTGGCCAAAGCAAATGTATCAAATGCTCATTTTTTGGTGACCAAAACGAGTGGTGCGAAAACGGTGAAAGGTCGCTTGGGCAGTGTGTCTTTATTCGATTTAACCGTACATGGAGCATTGTATCGTGAACGTTTTTTGACCAGCGGTAATGAAGCATTGAATTTCACCTATTCAAGAGATGAACCGAAACGTATTGCCGAATCGGCAACATTGAATTCCGAAGCATTGTTGAAAATAAAAATGTCATCAGTACGATATGTGCATACAAAACGTTTTATAGCCGAAATTCAAACGTTTGTCAATGAATTTCAAGGATTACAAGCACCAAATCTGATACGAAAAATTAAATCGTCCGAATCAAGAAGTAATTTACAACAGAAACCAATGCAACTATCGTTGTCCATTAAAGCCGGTTCGCCGATCATTTTATTGCCATTGAGTGCAAAGAGTAACAAAGTGATTGTGGCCGATTTGGGTGAGTTTTCACTAAGAAATAGTTTTCATTTTGCATCGGATACAAGTAATGTGATTAGTGTACGAAAGGATGTAAATGGGCCCGATGAAATTTTGGATGTGATGCTGGTCGATTTGGTCAATACGGATCTATTTGCCGGCGAAAGACATTTGAAAAATGATGATTTTGGACTGAATGAAACATATGGTTTTAATGATACGCTTTGCATGGATATGGGCAGTTATATTGTATGCAAAAATGGTGCTAGTTTATTGAACGATAAGTGCCATTTAAAATTGATTGTCGAACGAAATTTACAGTCGTGGCGCAGTCACAATGTGCCCGATTTTAGTGTTCAAGGAACATTGTCACGTCTCGAAGCTGTATTAAATCTTCAACAATATCAATTGGTACGTGGTTTCTTGCAAAATAATCTCGGCGAACCGTTAGATGATTTGGACGTTGTACAGCCGCAGAACATAACCGACAGTCGTTTTAGTTTGTCAACGGAAAATTTCATGCGAACCGATTTGCATGAATCATCATTATGGACAAGTATGTCGATCACATTGGATTTGCAGGATGTGTCAGTACGTCTGCAAGTGCCAAAATCACGTGGTTTATCAAATTTAATGTATGATCCAGACGAAACCGATGCGCCATTGGCCTGTATTAATTTTATAAAATCATCGCTAAAAATCGATCAATTCAGCGATGGATCACAAGACATCGATTTGGTATCGCAAGAGATTCTCGTCACCGACACACGATTCACACCGGCCAAATATGGTGAATGTTTTGGCGAACAGCCAATCGTAAAGAATGTATTCACAACTGTTCTCCAACCAACGGGCACCAAATCAAATGGCGAAGATTCGGTCCAAGCTGAAGTGCATAGTCGCAAACGACAAGACTATTCTAAATACACAATTTTATTGAATAATATGCGTGTAATGGCCATTTTGGATTGGATGGAATGTGTTCGTGACTTTTTGTCCCAAGATTGTGATGAACATTTGGAAGCATCACAAAATAATGCGTTAAAAGTACAACCAATAAGTTCATCGATGTCGGCCGCAATAGCAGCGTCAACAACAAATATCAATGCCAGTGAGATGGAAGTGATTTTAAATATCACAAATTCGGAATTGGTATTTGTGGAGAAGACCGATCAATGGGATTCAAATGCCGTTATTTTGAAGAGTACAACCGTTTTATCGTATCGACCAATTGAAGTGAACAAAGTCATGTCAATCAATCTTAATCATTTGGAAGTGTTTTCATGCATTTTAGGCTGTGAAGAAGATACAGCACTTTCAATCATCGACCCAATTACCATTAACATGGATGTCAAACAAAATACGCTTGATATTCAACTACAGAAACGGCTATGCATTCGTTTGTCATACAACGATGTAAAAATGTTTATTAAAATGTTTGAATCGCTGCCAAATCAAACGAAAAACGCTCAATCCCGTGACCAAAAGCAAGTGAATGAAGTATTAGTGGCTAAATTATCGGCTCTTGGATTTTCCGTTGATGATTGCATCAAAGCATTAGAATTATGCAATAACATTCTCGACGATTCAGCATTATGGTTAACACAACATGCGGAACCAGTTAAAATGCAATCGATACATATGCAAGAGAGTGCATTGAATATTAAAGCCGTTGTGATTCGGGCGAGTTGTATATCGATTTGTGTGATTGATGATTGTAAAGATGCAGATGTACCATTGTTAGAGGTGTCATTTTCAGAACTGGAAGGACGACAAGAGCTTGGTTCACTTACCGATTATCAAAATATGATAAACAGCAGCAGTTCGGGTGGTAGTAGTCGAGCTGAATCGCTTGTTCCAACAACATCGGGCAGCGGCTACAAAGTCGGATATTTGAAAGGGGTTTTTGCTAGTGATTATTACAATCGTGTGCTAAGCGGATGGGAACCGTTAATTGAATCATGGAAATGTGAATCGAATTGGAGTTGTAGCGTTGGTGCATCATCAATTCAACCGAATCGACTTCATTTACTCATAAACAGTGATGATATACTTAAATTGAACATCACCACAACGATCATTGAACTTTTCAATTTGGTCTATGAAAATTGGATGCAAGATTACTATGGCAGTGGCAGTGCTAGTGGAACAAACGATGGCAGCCCATCAACATCAATGAGTTTGATCAATTATCGACGTCGCAGTCCATTTGTTCCGTTCGCGTTGAAAAATGAAACTGGATTAAATTTACAATTTACAACATTTGTTTCAGCGCCCGGTACAAGTCCATCGAATGAAGGTTCATCAGACGTTGTTAGTCGAAAATTAAATCAACAACAATGGATATCCGTTGAACCTGGTGCTGTTATTCCATTCACTTTTGGTCCAACAAATAAACAACGTCATCATGATTCGCACAAGCTCACACTTCATCAAATTCGTGTGCGAATCGATGGATGGACAGAAGTTGGTCCAGTGTCGATCGATAAAGTTGGCGTTTTCTTCCGTTATTCACGCCATGAAATGGCCGAATTTATATCGCTGCCACGAGCCCGAATTGTATTCTCCGTATCGTTGGAAGGTTCAGCACAAAAACTGGTAACAGTACGTTCGGCATTGCGTGTTATTAATCGATTGGATCGTAATATGCTGATTAAATTGGAACATCTGAAGACAATAAACTATCCCGATGCAATAACAGCCATTTTAAAAGTTGGCGAAACATACAGCGTCCCATTGAGTCATGTAAATGCACACATGTATGTCGTGCCGATTTCAACGCAAAACATTTCAAATACTGCTCAATTATCCATGAACACAACCAATGATACATCATCACGTTCAGATGGTTCAACAAAATACCAAACGCCCGAACGTCAAATTAGCTCGAATGTTGATTTATGGTTGAAAAAATCCGATTCGAATGAATCACGGCTATTTTTCTGTGAACGAAGTATTTATTGGCGTGACATGGATGAAGGTTTAGAAGTTCAACAATGGGTTCGCACATGTAAATCGAGTCGTGATAAACATTTCCGTGTTCTGGTCGCCGTTCAACGTGATGGATATCCAATGAAAGACTCCGGTACAATTCCAGGTCATTCGATTATTTTATTGCCACCACTTCGATTACACAATTTGTTACCGTGCGATCTACTTTTCCGTTTGGCGAACAACACATTGGGACGCATCTCACCATCTGAAACGGCCAACATTTATGAAGTTGATTTGGAAAATCAAATGGAAATCACTATTACATTAGACAGTTATCCAGGCGCTGAGAAAATAATCATTCCAAGCGGACCAATTGGTTCGGCCGATTATCGTATTCGACTCACCGATACCAAAGGTCGCCCATTGATATTACGTGCAAGCATTCAAATGATCAAGGGCTCTGGACTACAAATAACAATTAGTTCACCATATTGGTTGATTAATCGAACCGGATTGCCATTGATATTCCGTCAAGAGGGCGTTTCACAAGAGAGTTCCGGACAATTTGATGAACATGAACAGGCACGACTTGTATCACCGTTAATGTTTTCGTTCACTGATCCAGACGCATCACCGGCGCTAACAGTTCGATTGGGCCGACGATATGGTGCAAATCCACCATGGTGTCAACCATTCAATTTACATAAAGACATTATACATCAACAATTACGATCGGGCATTTCCAATGAGACATTCATCATTGGCACGGAGGTTCGATGCGGACGTGGTCGCTATGCAAAGACCAGAGTTGTAACATTTTCACCACGATTTCAATTGTATAATCGCAGCTCGTATAAATTACAATTTGCACAGAAATGCTTCGCAAATTCATCGGTAAATCAAAAAATAAATCACACACCTTCGCATTTCATTTGGAGTCATCAATTGATTTTATTTCAGATGGATCTATCAGCACCAAATACATTTATCGAAGCAGTACCCGGTTGTCATTTGCCATTCCATTGGCCTCGTTTGGATAAAGAACAAGAGTTATGTGTGCGATTGCCGAATATTGATGGTTGCATGTGGTCTGGAGCGGTTCCAATTCATGAAACACAGAGTCTATATATTAATATCAGGTAAAATTCATTGTTTTTTTTTTTTTGTTTCTCACGAGAAACAACATTTTAATTCATTTTTATCTCTTTCACATTTCAGAAATATGAATGGTGATATGCATTTTCTTCGTTTGGAAATTGTTCTACAGGGTGCAACATATTTTTTGTTATTTGGAGATGCGCAGGCTTTACCACCACCAATACGTCTTGATAACTATTCGAATGTTGCGATCAAATTCTATCAACCAGGTGGGCGCAATCATTGGCGTACAATAATCAGGCCACATTCATCAATGGCATATGCATTAGATGAACCAATGGGTATTCAGTCCCTTGTGATCGAAGCACCAGGCGGCGTTTCACATAATTATTCATTGAACGAATTGGGAACATCATTCAATTTAACCTATGAAAATTATATTTACATTGCATTCAGTGGAACTTTCCGTAGTTCAGACAAAGACTGGTCTGATTATGACATTGAATGTCAAGAATTAGTTCTAACCGTGGTCGATGGTCGTGTCTATCTGGCTAAAAAGCAACAAGGAAATCGATCACAATTATGGCGTATGAATCAAGATCGTCAGCTGGAGCATGAAGGATCTTCACCGCCAATTGAACCTGGAAAAAAGACAAATACCACTCATCGGCTAGTATTAGATTTGGAAAAAGCACCACAACCAAGAAACTATGTGCCACTCGTCGTGCGACCTGTAAATAAACAAAGACGATCAACACAAACATGGAAATTTACGGAAGAAGGGCGTTTAATGTGTGAACATTCAAATATGTGTGTACAAGTGCGTGGTGGCATATTTGGTTTGCGACCCGAAAGTGAGGCGGTGCTCGGAATGATTGTTAGCGATACGCATCTCATTCGAGATGGTCTCGTTCCAATCGAACAATCGATACGACGCGAAAAATTACGTGCTGGTTCTGGATTCTTATCCGTTTCCATTGGAATGGATGGACCGATAAAAAATATTCGCATCAGAGATGTAAAATCAACTGAACCCGTTTCATTGGCACTCGATCCAACGTGGAAACATGTTTCAAATATTTTATCATCAGAGAATCGTATGACACAATCCCATTCGACGGCAACCAATGTCAATACAAACGATTTAGCTGAACTTTATGTAAATGTGAAATTGACAAAAGGCATTGGCATTTCGATTGTATCGAAACAACCGTGCGAAGAATTGGCTTTTGTAACGTTAGAAAATATTCTAACCGAAGCAATTTCAACGCCAAATATTCGATCATTGGATTTCAGTGTGGGCGACATACAAATCGATAATAATCTATTCGAAACACCGTGCCCAGTTATGCTGTTTACAACACGAAATTCAGAAACACAAAATCATCCATTGCCAGCGATGCATTTGAATGTAAAATCATTGCCAAGTCCAAATGCCAATGCCATCATTTTCGAACATTTGACGCTTAGCTTGCGACCGCTTACCATTTATTTGGAAGAACGTTTAATTCTGCGATTGGCAATGTTTTTGGGACTTGGAAAATCACAAAATGACACATTACCCGATGAATCCGATTATGAAGCACATCGTGTTGCCACAAAAATACTAGCGGCAAATGCAAAACGCTACTATTTCGGTGATTTACAAATTGTACCAAGTCAAATACGATTGTCTGTGATTACAGCATCAAAATTGATGCCGCAATTGTTGGAAATTAAGAAAAGTCTCGGATTGACACTGATTAAATTCGAAGATGCTGTAATTGATTTTGAAAAATTCACCGATCGTCATCATTTCGAAACGCTGGAAGTGTATTTGCGTGCCATCAAAGCGCATTATAAACAACAATTGAAATGGCAAGCAGCCTTCATTCTCGGTAGCGTTGATTTCCTTGGTAATCCACTTGGATTTGCCAGCGATCTATCGGAAGGTGTGTCTGGACTGATTTTTGAAGGATCGGTGAAATCATTGGTGAAAAATGTAACACATGGAATATCAAATTCAACGGCCAAATTGACGGAGACCATTTCCGATGGTTTGGGACGTGTTGTACTCGATGAACAAGATACTGAAACACGTCAACGCATTCTTGAAATGCCAAGCGGTTCAAGTTCAACGGGTGACCATTTGGTGGCTGGTTTCAAAGGTCTTAGTTTTGGCTTACTTGGCGGTGTTACAAGCATTGTGAAGCACACATACATTGGTGCACAAAATGATGGTTTTCAAGGATTCATTTCGGGACTGGGCAAAGGTATTGTGGGAACTGTAACAAAACCAGTGATTGGCGTTCTTGATTTAGCGTCCGAAACAGCAAATGCAGTACGTGAAACCAGCAAAAGTTCAAATCGTGCATTACCCGAACGTAAACGATTGTCAAGATGTGTAACAGGAGCACCAGGTAAAAATGTTGTTTCGATAACATTGTTCCATTCAAATTCTAATAAATCGCAGACAATATATTGGGCTGAATATTCATTTGAAATGAAAAGAAATAGCACGCTATTTTTGATAAAATAATAGAAGTGATTGTTATAATTATTGTACCAACGTAAGTGTTTTATAACCAAAACAATCACTTCTATTGTTTTATCAAAAATAGCGTGCTATTTCGTTTCATTTCAAATGAATATTCAGCTCAATATATTGTCTGATAAATCGATATTAATGATAAAATGCATTTGAATTGATATTTCCAGGCGGACTACTACCACCATATTCATCGTTGCAAAGTCGCGGGCAATCGTACCTTTTCTTGATTAATAAACGCAATTTTAACGAACAATTTATGGCCTACGAACCATGTCTCTATGATGGAAGAGATTCCAAATTACGGCTTTTGGTGTCATCCGAAAATATTTGGGTATTTTCGCGCAACGAAGAATCAACAACGGTGATTTTGTCATATCATTTGAGGTACTTCAATAATCAATAACCAACAACTTCCCAACATATATTGAATGAAAAAATAATGCTTTGTTTTATTTTTACAGTGAATTGATGTCTTGCCGTCCAGTCAACAAAAGTCAATCAAAACGTGGTCAACATTACATTGAACTATGCTTGAATTTACAGGATGCCGTAAAACGGCCACTAGTTCGATGTAGCAATGAGGAAATGGCGCAAAGGGCATCACGTCATGTAAATATTTTTGTTTTCTTGAACAGAAGAACTGTTTTTGAAAATGCAACTAATTTTGAAAACCTTTTTCTCGTTCATTTTAGATTAACTACGCGAAGAGTGTTTACGATGAGCGTGAACTCACCTTGAACTATGAAACTGTGATCGATACCTAAATATTTCGAGTGACGGAAGAGAGCTAGACCTCTGGATGATTTAAAAGCTACGAACAATTTTCAATAATACCTACCCTGCCCCGCCCTCAATATTTATAGAAATTTTCTTAACAATGTTAAACCTAACGATTTTTTTAGTATTTTTTATGGATCACACTATATTTGGCTTGTAAACATCCAGAGACTGTATATCAAAGGAATAAATGCGAGGAGAAACGCAAACATTAATATTATGATTTTAGATCTGTGCTCCTCGGTGCTCCTCCTCACATATATTGCTATGAGAAACAGTCTCTGCAAACATTTCCTCTTATTTATTAGAAATTTTACTGAAAAATATATTGCATGTGAAATTGAATGCCGAATTCATCGAGTCTGTCAACTTTAAAATTGGAATTTCTAAGGCAGTCGAGAACAACCAATATATTTATTTAAAAATGCAAAAGAAGCGAACTTGACGTTCGTTCATCGAATATAAAAGACAAACCAAATGACACACAAATGTCACAAAATTAATCTATTTTTGTAAATATAATGCAATGTAAAATGGACAATGCAAATTGAATTTGTGCATTCTGCAATGATTATTGTACAACGGTATAGTTTTCTAAAATATTAATCGATTTTAATAAATTAATTTTTTTAAAATAACAATTTCGATTTATTCAATTTTGAGTTCGATTTTAGTTGCTTTTCGCTTGAACCGTATGATTTTCAGTGATATTTGTTCATTATACCTTATTTGGCATGGCATGGTAAGCTCTTCGCGGGATTCCTAGAGTACTATATGGTATATTCTAGATTGATTAAAATATATCGATGAAGGGAGGTCAAAACAGTGTTCTAAAGACACTCTATGCTAATACTAAAAGTCAATTGTAATTATAAGTTTTCAATTTGAAATATTTATTTGACAGATTCTGTGTTATTTACACCGAATACCAAATTTATTTGATGAAAATTACTTAAAACTATGGTCATACATTTATTGTTGTTTGCCAATATGGCTTCGAGTGCAATTTTATATTATAATATGAAAATCGGCTGTATAAACATAAAAAAAACTATCCAACAATGCTGCTACAACCTCTAAGTGCCAAATAACCGGCCGTAAGATCGCTTGGTAAATTTCTGACGGTAACAAACTCTTCAGAATTGTGAAAATGTAGTTTACTCTGTGAGTCTGTATACGGAGCGATTAAGCCAGAGATGTCAGAATATTTTTTGGCTGGTAAAAATGATGGCGGAGCATTTATTGATGAATCTAATTTCGAATGGATAAAAAAAAATGAAATGTATGTTAGTAAATTGAATTTTATTCGAATTTTTCTGGCAATATTTTCAACTTACATGTAACAGCACTTTCAGGCCATTGCAGTGTTCGTTCGGTGGCTAATATCTGTTTTAGTGATTTCCATGCTCGCTTTTTATTTCCAATGGAATTGTCTTCGAGTGTTGCTTTTTTGAATACTGGAAATGTACTTGGTTCAACCATTTTATTTTATTTTCAATTCCTCAAAGAAAATTTTGGAAAAAGTTTCAATATCGGTAGATTCAGGTTCTGTTTATATTAAAACAAAATTGCTTGTTTGACAGACGAAAATGCCAGCGTACGATGTAGTAGTAGATTAAATAACGTAGTGAATTTGATGGGTTTATTCTGTTAATTGATTGTTTACGCGTTTTCTTTGAAACTGAAAAAGTTATCTGTACATAAGCAAACATTTGCTTTCGCCGTTTTAATTATTCTACATTTAATTGAAGGTAAGAAAGAAGGTACCAAATTATTGATGAAGCCACAAATTGTTTGGATTCAGTGTGGTATTATCGGTTATTATTTCACAGTCTAACAGTAACAAGGTACTGACAAGATGTACTAATGATGGGAAATACAAACAGTACCAATTGTGGTCCTTTGTAAATTTTATCACTAGTTATTACATCCGATGATACGAGATTTTACGGAATTTGCCATTTTGTGTTGAAAATGTTGGCGATTTACTTCAGTTAATTGGATGTAGCTGCTGTATTAAATTGCTGAGGATGTCTTCGATCTGTGCGGCCCTGTAATCTTATTCAATATGTTGAATGTCAATTCCCGTTGTCCCGACAAAAACAAACTGAAATAAAAATTCGATTGGATAAATTTATTTCAAGAGCATTTAAGAGTTATGATAACATCAAAGACAGACATCAAAGCGGCTCCTCCAAAATTGCCAAATTTCTTAAGATGTCAAGCCCATTTGGTTGTTACTGTTCCGAAACTCTTGTTTTCAGACTCTTTTGACATTTTGGCAATGCACGCATGCTTCACGATAAATCGTTCACTTGTTGTATGGCCAATAGATGTTAAATCGCTTGCAAAATGAATCCTTCTTCAAAATATTGATTGGCATATTCTAATGAGAATTTTTTTCAGAATCTGTTGAAATAAAATTCAAAATGACATTGAGTTATTGAGTGCACTTTGTCATATGAAATGGACGGTGTCAATGAAAGATGTTGTTCGGTTTTAAGATTTTCCTTCAATATTCTCGATGATATTTTCTTTCAGGTCACATTGAATTTGTGGAATCTGTTTTTGAAAATCGATGATAAATAAAGTAAATGACTTAATCTCGGATGATATTAAACCTACATTTATCATTCAGAGGCTTCATGTCTTCTTCACGATTGCCGAACAATTTTTCATAAAGACGTTTTTTTACGTTTTCCCTTGTGTCACCGGAACTTGTTGATTTTTGCAGTAAACATTACAATTAATCATGTGAATTCTTGTTGATCTCTGTGTTTGTCAAATATAAAATGGTGGTGTGATTCAACTAAAGAAGAGAATGCTGACCCATTTTGATCGATAACACGATTCTTTGAAATGCACATAGCACCATTAATATAACAGCTCTGTTTATATTATACTAGCTGCTTTGACACACGAAAATGTCAGCGTACGATGTAGTAGTAGAATAAAAAACGTTGTGAATTTGATGGGTTTTTTTGCGTAGTGAATGACGTAGATTCCTCAAATGCAATTGCATAGAATTTGTTTACGCGTTTTCTTTGAAAGTTGATATGGAACGATGCCGCATTTTTTTTCTTGGTTACTAAAAAAATCCAATTCAATTTCCATTTGATAGACATATTTCTGCAAAGTTTGTGCAATGAAAATAAGAGCACATATAATTCTAAATCGCTTATGTTCATATAATCAAATAGAATGAACTAACTGATTATGATTTGAAATGTTCATTATGCGAATAAAAATGAATTATGAGAAACTATTTATGATAATAGTTTTGCATGAAAACTATCTCTTCGATTCGCATTGTTATAGGAATTTATGCTTTTTTTTATTGTACAAATTTTGTAGCGAAAATACATGAAATGTGTAAATAAAGAAAATAACATAAAAGTGATGCGAACAAATGTTGAAATAAAGATATGATAATCACAATACAAAAGGTCTTGAACTGAGCAAAAGACAGCGAAAGAGATAGAGAATAGAGATGTGACAAAAAAAGTTATTATTTGACTTGCTGATGGGTGCAAATCTTTTCAGAGCAAAAATACGATGTATTCCAATACACATTTGCTTCAAACTAGTAAGTGGTTACGTGATCGCATTGTGTATGTGTGTGTGTGTAAAGTGGTAGCGCGCGACAAGAGGTAACGAAAAAACCCATTATGAGATTTCGGTTTGATTTAACTTTTTCGTGTGACAACACAATGCACTTAATTTGATTAGGTTTTGGTACCGAAACTAGGCAAAAACGGATATATGTATGTTCGATAGCGTGCACAGCAATACAAGTACGAGACGACATACCATGAACACACACACACACACACACACACACAAACATTACGTTAATGTAATAAATTTATTTGCAGCGACAAAGCGTCTGCAACGCACACATTACGAATGAACAGTGTGTCAAGTTTTAGACAAAACTAGCCATGAAGAAAAAAAACATGTGCTTCTCATAACAGAGACGAGATGCGAACAGATTTGAATATTATTGAGCATTTGAACTAAATGCATAAATCGACAAGTGTGTTACCGCAATTTTAGGGACCATTCCAATTCATTAGTGTATTTTGAATGTTCGCGCCCCCAAAAACTAAATCAACACAAATAGTTTTTATATGCCATTCGAATTATGGCAATAAAATATAAACGGCCATAAAATGCATTTAGATGTGGCAGAAAGAAGAAATGTGGCATGAAGTAACCGAATGATACATTGGTTTTGAATTATGAAGTTATACATTAATATTATGAATTGATATGAATATACCAGCAACAAGAAGCACTTAAATTCCGATGAAACTTAAGTAATTGTTGCGCACACACACATAGCGAAAAATGATACGATTGCGAATAATAACAGCAAAAGAAAAGTTTGCATACAAAACACCAATGAACAAATAGTATCACTCGTTATATTATACTTTTCCATTCACAATAATCAGATTCACATTTGAGAATTAATTTCGCAAACGTTCAAGTTTCTAAATGTATAACTCATCTCTCGACATTATTATTTACTTCTGTCGCTTCGCATCATGACAATATAATTCGATTCAATAAACCACTCATCTTCATCACGATTTTCTTGCAATATTTTTTTCATAATTATTGCATCATTATCAAATGCCATTGCCAAACGATGACGAACGATTTTATCTCGATTTAAGATGGGTCCTAATCGTAATTCAATTTACTGCCTAACAAAAGCAATGCGAAAAGTGAACGAACACAAAATCAAACATGTAAATGAATCATGTCAAAGTAGTGCATGTTTTGTTGTGTCGTGCATACACTGTTTTTCGTACAAAATAAGAGATAGAGATAAATAGCCCAAAGGGCGATATCAATGCATTTCCAACGAAATCATCATCATTGAAATAGCACATAGAATGTTGTCGATATGCGAAGGGCACAAAAGTCGATACAAAAGTTAGCCTGATAAGAATGACACACAATGCAAATGAAATAGCGCTCACGTGAAATGAATATTGAATTGAAAATCGGTTCTGGAGTCGTGCATATAAAAATAAAATAAAGAAACAACAACACATCGAATCAAAGTTATACCATTAGGTTAATCTGATTTTATTTCAACGAAAGAATTCAAGTGACATGATTTGAATTTAAATGAATAGCATTCACACTCCACCAATGCAGATCGTCGACAAATTTAACGCATCGCACAAAACGGAAGAAGGCGTACACATGTGTATCCTATTCGGTTGATTCGACAAAACACTCTCTCTCTCTCTCTCTCTCTGCAATTGTTCTCATAATATACACTTGAAAATTGATGTGATTTCAATTGAGCGTCAATGAAAAAGGGATAATATACTTAAATCATTTGAATTTGATTTTCACATGGACACCCAGTTTTTTTTTTACTTTACAAGCTAAGATTGATTGTTCTGTAATTGTAATTCTTAAGATTTGTAATCGATTCATTCATATTCATTTTTCGTTGTATGACAACATGAGCTCACATGCGATGGTGATTTTGACTCAAATTTGAATGGCAAAGTAATTCGCATTCGAAAGTTTTTCGCAACCGGTATTTTTTGCTTAAATTTATATTGAAAGTAGATCATAAATTACCTTTCTCTCCGAGCCATTTACTGACCATGCATAAAACAAACGAAAAACCAATGGTTGAGTTTATAATTGTACATGCAAAATTCATAGGTCTCTGGTAGCCGTGATCGTCTAGTGGTTAGGACCCTACGTTGTGGCCGTAGTAACCGGAGTTCGAATCTTCGTCACGGCAATTCGTTTCCACAAAAATGATAACGAATGAGACCAACACTTTTTTTCTCGAACAATTGAATCGTTGCGGCGAAACAGTAGCTCTTATTCTTCTCCAAATAATACTGCAACATAAAGTTTTTTATGAATAATTTATTTGTTGTATTACAACAAATAAACCGTGTGAAAAAAACTTCATGTTGCAGTATTATTTGGAGAAAAATAAGAGCTACTGTTTCGCCGCAACGATTCAATTGTAATATTTGACTTTGAACTGTAGTCGCCCACAAAATATGCAGAGTATACTCATTTTGGTTGTATTGTTTAAATTGGAATGTAAGTTGCTGTTACGCATTCTTCAATTATTATTTTTTTAAATTTAATTCAGCAAATTTGCTATTAAGCAATTTCCAATATTGCACATTTGTTTCGAATATTGAACACGATTCATAAATTTGAATGAAAATATACGCAAAAAATTGAAATATTGCAATGAACGTGAATCGAAATAGTTTTTTTTTTCTCGGCCAAACAATTTGGAACAAAAATTGAAACGTGCGAGTGAAAGGCACGTTGAAACTATATCAGCATTAGCAATCAGCATCACAGTAAGAGGTGATATCAAATGTGAATGTGAATTACACATGTCTCTCGTAGCCGTGATCGTCTAGTGGTTAGGACCCTACGTTGTGGCCGTAGTAACCGGAGTTCGAATCTTCGTCACGGCAATTCGTTATCACAAAAATGATAACGAATGAGACCAAAACCAAATTTTTTGGTCAAATGTTTTAAAATATGTGACTACATTTTCAAAGCATAAAAATTGGAACATTTTAACTGTGTATCATTTTCCAATTAAATAACGAAATTTCATTGAAATTATTCAAAAAAATAATAATAATAATGAAATGTTGCAACTTTCGTACAGGAGAAAAAAAAACAATCGACCGAAGTAAAAATGTAAAAAAAAAAAAACAATTCAATGTTAAATTCAATGACATTAAAAACATTCGAAGCAAAATTCAATTTTAAATCGATTAAAGTTCCGAAAAATTGCCTATATTTTTCATTTATCATATCGAAGGTCAGCAGAAAAAGGTTTAATTTTGCCAAAATAGCAAATATTACATGTGCCGCATTCGCTTGACTACAGTTGAACGCACGGAAAAATAAAGTAAACGTGTAGAAATCATAATATCAAACACATCATCATACTTTCAACGCATGCCTGACACGTTTTACGCAACGGCTCAATGATCAAAAGTTGTGTGTATTAAACAAGCACTTTTTTTTTCATCGTCTTTCTTTTTGCAAATACAATTTTGGGTTTGGATTGAGCATATAAAATATCAAAAATTAAGCAAAAATCGATTATTGTTTTTGCTTCTGTAAATGGCTCAAAGTCCCATTTCCAGTAAAGAAAAAAAAACATTGAACTTTGACAACAACATTTACACTTCGAAAACAAATTTACATATTTTTACATTTGAATATGGAAAAAATGTGCCAAAATGCAATTATTTGAAAAAAGTTGTTCCGCCAGCAAATGAATTGAATATGAAAAATAATCCACTCGAATGGATCGGAAATGAAAAACACAGAAAAAAGCATCATATTTGAATAGATCGTTTGTACTTGGTTCGCTTAAAAAAATAGAAGAAAAAAATGAAATGAAACCATCTCGGATCATCGTCGGTTGTTCAAATGCTTGAACGTCGAAAAATAAATAGAATCCATCGCATGTTAATCGCGTCCAGAAAGACGACAAAAGTAAATAAATGTGATTATTCCAAACGAAATGGGATCTATTAAGTGTGGCAATGAGATAATGATTCGTGTGGTCGCTACTGTTTCACATTGTCACCAAAATGGAAAATATCGAACCTCAGGTCGAAAAATTAAAAAAAATACACACACACACACAAACATTATGTTACAAAATGATTAAATATTAACCTAGATAAATACATATAGTCAACGATGAATGTAATAGAATGGATAGATCCAGGCAAGTGTGATAGATCCAAAAAGGCAAGCTAACGGTGCTTCAGCGCAAACAATGACATCGAAAAGTTAATAATGAATGAAACAAATGACAAG